TTAAATTATAAGGCTGTTTACAATCAAAATTTAATAAACTCTTTTAATGGTGAAAGAGTTTTACGAAAGTCGACTCTGAAAATTTAAATTAGTGAGTGTTATATTATATCCAATAAATTGTTTAAAATTTTTATGTATTTTTTAAAACAATTTAAAATTAAATTTTTAATTGCATGCAAAATTTGTTCTAAAGCAATGAAGCAATGAGTATACTTTGATATTTTACTGTATTATTATATACTTGGGTATATCATTTGAAATTTATACAGCTCTCTTCAAGTGTTGGTTGGCGCAACAACCGGAGCGTTGGTATTTAAAACCACACAGCTCTCCAGCGTGGGTTCGAATCCCACCGCAGACTACTTATTTGTCGACATTTATTTTTTCACACGATGATGATTTAATAACATCGCGGAGGTTAACACCAAATGATTCCAATCGTTCTGATTGAATCTAGTTGATCTATGAGACTGCTTTGTCATAGTTACTCTGAGTGTGGAATTATTTTTCATGATTACGTTGATCATAAGCATGTAAATTTACTATTGCCGTTATATGTAGAATCAAATTGAATTGAATTTATTAGAAGGCAGAAGACATAAGATATTGTAGGGTACATAGTATATGCATGCCCTACAAATAGATTGTCACGATTCAAACTAGACTAATATGTATAGACAATGTGGCGACTTTGCGGTACAATCACGCGTTAATTAGTACGTTGATTATCAACTCATATATATATTGAAGAGAAATCTACTGTGTACAATGATGTTAATATTGTTACAAACTTACTGTGTTGCATGCAATTGTCATACTATGATGTATATTGTAAATATGCAAACATATATATTTCACGATCTACGTATAAAATATACATGTGAAATTTATTGTATAATAATATATATGGCGAATTTCATTACATCACTCACACATTATATATATTTAACATTACATGTGTAAAATATGTAATATTACACTTGAGACAGTGTATTATTCACAAATATGTGTTACCTTTTATATAAAGTTGGGGTTATTGATTTGTTATTCATTTGAAGAATTTTGCTAAATAATATTTTCAGAACTTGTAAAATTTAGACGAAATTAGACAGAAAAAAATTTTTCGTCAAATTTAACAGAAAAATTTATTTTGATGATTTTTTAAACACAAACTTCGTGTTAATTCAACACAATACATAAACGTTACACAGCTCTATATTAATTAAAAGTAACACATTAAATTCTGTGTTAAAGTAACAATTGAATAATTTTATTCCTTCAAAAAAAAAAAAACAATTTTTTTTTAAACTTCTAAATCTGTTTAGTTATACTGATTCTAAAACGTTTGATATAGAATAAAAGTAATACCAAACAAACACTTGTTCTATTTTAATTTCAAAGATACAAATTCATAATATGAAAAATACTGAGCATTTAAAAATTAATGAAAACACACTCATTTTTATAAAAATTTATATTTGCACTTGAATAAATGACAAAAATCATAACGAGTCTTAATTTAATTAAGACAATTTTAATTAAAGATATTAAAATTATTCGAAACATTAAATTAGGAATAATTAAAATTATAACAAATAAGCGTCGTTTAATATAGACAAAAAAAAATTGAGAAATCTCTCAAATTAAAAATCTTTCAACAATGATTAGTTAAAAAAATAACATCTTGATACTCATAGACATTATTATATAAAAAATATATCCAAGTATACGGCTGTATAATATGCACACATGTGTTACATTGTATGCATATAGGATTCATGTGTAATTTTTCGTATAGTATCATGTATAATATCAGATATGTACAACACGTAATATTACACATATTAAAAATATCATCAAAAGTTATCTTCAAATTAATTGTATGTTACATTCAATCATCATACACTTATAATATCCACCTATAACATATAATAAATAACACACATGTAATTTAATACATGCAAGTAAGTTGAGTGTCGGATGGCGAAACAATCTTGTTCCAGACGGACTCGATATTTAGTCCATATACGTCGCACTTTTGTACATATTCCAAGGCAATATTCGGACAAACGTGTGTGTACTCGACACCACTCTATACATGTATCCTTTCATTGTCGTTGCATCCCATCGTCCGTCAGAATAAGTACATATGGAGACGAGAGACGTGTCCCCGTCCTAGCTGGTTGTATATACATATATATACACTTGTACGTATACATATAGCTTTGCCATTCATGGTATTGTTAATGACCTAACTTTGATGCGTGTATAACAACCAATAGCGGGCTCTGAAAGGGCGTGATTAATTTTCATAATGGCGGACACACGTTTGTAATTAGCGGTTAATTTACTTATCCGATTAATTCCGGTCTCGGGGTTCGAAAGTCGCAACTCCTTTACTTATCCTCGAAAGGACTTTTGTACAAAATACAGAACTAAAAGTCAATTTAAAGTTTCTTCATCTTTGTTTCGCAATTGCAATTGAAAATAAACTTTCGATTTAAAATTACATACAATTGATTTATAAATTTTTATTAGAATTTAAAATATCACCTCCAATAAATAACAAAGTTTACATCGAATAAAACTAACAAAACAATTTGATTAATAAAGATTATTCCACATGAAAATATATATGCGGCATTTATAGTAAATACACTTGCAAAATAAATATATGTCCCAATATATTTTCCGATAAAGGTAAAAATATCGACGGTTTAATTAACAATTGGTCTAACTCCTTATTTTTTAGAGAATGATTTTTTAAGATTTTGATGTATATATAGTAATAGTCCGATTATAAATTATTTGAATGATCCACACTAAAATATTATGCCTCTATTAGATATTAAATGGTTTTTTAAAGTGATAATAAATTTTGAACGAATTATTTTTTCGTACAAATGGAAGATTCTCTAAAACGAAATTAGACAATTTGCTAATTAGATCGTCGATGTATGTTTTAATAGATTCTAACATATATATGCGCATATGCAATATAAATGCTTATATAGATGCAAACATTTATACCAGCATATATTTTAAAACGAGATATATTTTGTGTAAAAAAAATTGATGTCAGCATATATTTTCATACATAAATTTTTTTCCATGTGGTTAAAAAAATTCAGGGGCAAAGTATCAAAATGATCGATGAAAACTGTTTTATTTAATTAACATAAATAAAAATTCCATCGATCTTATAAAATTACCGAAAAGAAGTTGAAAAAATCAATAGCCTAAAATATATAAAAAAGTGAAAAAAAAAAAACTTAAAAGAATTCCCCTTGCAAGAACAAGAGACAAGAGAACAAAAAAGGTGAGAGTGGTAAACTCCGATCGGTATATTTTTCAGCGTGTGACGTAACAGCACGTTCTTACAGGCATGAATCACGTGATAAGATGGTGTCAGTGCCCGAGTACAAAGCCCTCGACATAAAAAGTCCTGTACGAAAACGTTGGGTCAGGGCGCCACTAGTCGGGTCGCTTCTTCGTCAATTCTCTTTTTTGGTTATATCATTACATTATATTGTACCACTACTATAGTATCTTATATTCCTTACAGTTTACACTCTACAGTCTAGTACCGTAATACTTGCTACAGTAGCATCCACTCAACACTGATCTTTGAAAAATCTTCCAACAACCTCTTTCAGCCTTTCTCCGTGAGTTTGTCACGTGGGTGGACCCAAAATCGCCGGGTTAGTCCCGCCTTGAATCCCTAAAATTAACCTATCCTGCTTGTTATCACGCTCACTTCCGCTTTTTTTGTCATTTTTCTTCCACAAATTTTAAAATTAAATATATGATCTCAGGGTGGCGCAAAAAAAAGGAATATTTTTATTTTCTGACTCTCCTATGAAAATAGGGTAGTTTATCGTGGTTTAAAATCCAAATAAAATCAGCGCGTTAAAATTTTTTTTAAGTGTCGTTTAAGATTATTAAAACTTTTAAAGTAGAGACTTTTCTTTTAAGCGACTTTTAAATATCAATACTAACAAACTTTTTAATTTTTTTTCTACCAAGACACACTTAATTAGTTCAAGAGCTTTTGTGCTTAATTTAAAATTACTTTTTTGATTAGTAAAAATTTTTCTTGAACGGTTAATTATTTTTTGTGTCGTTTATCATTATGCTTTAGGGGTCATCTACAAAAATGAGCTCGATAAAAAAATTTTTAACGGTCGCTCGAAATTTAAAAAAATTTCTTCAGCTGGATAGATATTTGTTAATTTAAATATCGTAGTAATAATTGTTTTGTCGTACTTTAATGAATATCCGAGTCGTTTATATTTATATTTTCTGACATTTTTTTTGATTAAAATAAATTTTACTCGACTCTAAAAAAGTACAAGATGATTTTTTTTGGCTTAAAATCTTTTATTGAGTGAAATTAGTTATTTTACCGTGTAATTTTAATAGGAGACTAAAAAAACAAGAATAATTATTTTTTTGCACTAAATCTGCTGTAACTTTTCACTTCAGACATAAAATGATAATTCTAATTATTGCATTCGTTAGTCAGTTGAATTAAAATTGATTTATTTAACTAATTAGTTGCATCACAAAATATCATTCCGTTAGTTTTCCAAACGAACGTCTTAAAACAAGTCAAGTTACTAATTACTTCCGTTAATAAATTAATTCTCCAGCGTCTAGCCGATTTCCCCGACTTTCGAATCATTAATATATGTTTGCAGCATTTCCCCATTAATTGTCTCATCATTAGCACAATTACAAGTTTATTTGTAAAAAGTAGACTTTATTTTTTTGATACTCCCAAACATTATAAATTAAAACTCACCGTTTGAAAAAAAAAAAAAAAAATAATAATTTTTTTATCCTTAAATATAATAAGATTGACATGGTTTGAACTGTAAGTATAGCTTGGAGTTGATTGACCCCGAGCAAAAGCGGTAAAGAAGCACAACGACAACGGCGGTAACGAGGAGTGGCCAAGAAGAAGAAGAGCAAATTGGTGCTCCTGGTAGCAGGGACTCATGAGTCGAATGGAGGACTCGAGTCGCGGCTCACGGTCCCGCGGCTTAACAGGAGCCTCTTCTGATTGGTCGTCTACAGAGACCCAGTCGGCCTCACGGGGCCCAGGAACCCCCACCGCTGTCACTCCGGGAGTGGGGGCTCGCGGGTCAGTGCAGATGCATAGACAGGCATCTACCGTCGACGATGGGCCCAATTCGTCACAGGCCCAACCCGAGACAACGCATGAGCTCCACTTCAAGGTCTCACTTCACTCCTGATACTCCTTTCTAATTTCGCGTGACGTTTTATTTATCGTTACTTTTTAAAGAATAAAGGTTTTAAGTCAGCTATATGTATATGTTAAAACTTTAAAGATACTTTTAAGAAGAATTTATGATTTATTGTGATCGATCTGTTAGGATATGTCTTTTTCCTTTTGATTATTTTTTACGTTTAGTAAGGATGGATTAGTAAAAGTTTATTGGAGACATTTATAAGTGGGAATAACTTATCCGCTCTGCGATGATCCTTTCTCAGAAAAGGCTTTAAAAGTTACCGCGAGATTTATAAGTCTTTTGCATCGCCTATCTTTCTTAACTCAATCGCGATATTATGTCGGAGTTTTAACTCATTTATATATCTCAAGGAATTATTTTTTTATCTCTATCACTGCGTTGAATTATGTTTTTATATTAAGTTATTCGATATGGAAAAAAAAAATTAGTTGATTCAAGAAAATTTTACTAAACTTTTAAATTGACATTTGTGATGAAAATAAAATCCTTTAAATTAAAATACATGATAGTCTTGAAGTTAGTCAAAGGTCGAAACTCGCAAAAAAACGGGCCACGATTCATTATTGGTTAAAATTTAGGCGCGCGCGTAGCGCGCTATTCAAATTTCTAGTTATTTATTAATTTAGATGTCAAGAATTGTTTGGAGATATTTTATTAAAATATTTTTAAAAAGATGGTCATTTTTATTATGAACAAAAATTAAATAAAATTTTTTAGGTGTAGTGGGGTACACTAAAAAAATGTTCTTGAATCAAGTATATAATTTTGAAGAACTTAATCTTCTTGATTTGAGTAGAAAAATTGTTGAACTAAATAAATTTAAGAAAATTTTAATTGATTCAAAAATTTTTCATCTTGATTCAAGACAACTTCCCTCTTCAAAATTATTTTCTTGGTTCAAGAATTTTTCTCTTGAATCAAGTTAATTTTTTTTTCAGTGTAATAAAACTTTTGAGTTTAACATTGAATTTTAAAAAAAAATTTAAGCTTTTAAATTTGAAACGTTTTTTGAGATATTTAGTTTGAATTAATTCAAGAAATTCACGATCCGAATCAAGAAAATAAAACATGGTTGCACGGAAAAAAAAATTACATCTTTATACGGTAGCGTGTGGCGTTTGGGAAAAAATTACTGTTTAAAAAAAAAATTTTATAAATTCAATTTCAATTATTGATGTTTATAGTTTTACCTGTAATTATTACAGAATTTGTTAAAATTATAATCTGAAACAAATTTTTTTTATGAAACTCCACGGTACATTATAAAATGTAATTTTTGCATTTTTTTTATGGGATAAAAAAAAAGTTCCATATTTAATAATTTTACCAAACAATAAATGAATTATTTTTTTAAATTCAACTATTCTTTTTTACTCGTGGACGTGAAATTAAGTTATAGCGAAAATTATTGATCCATACCTTATATTCTTCAATGTATAAACATTAATTTAATTACAATTACAATAGATAATGCTATTGGGCGATAGCGGAGTCGGTAAAACATGCCTACTTACACAATTTCGAGACGGTCGTTTTCTATCTGGAAATCACATTAGTACTGTTGGAATTGATTTCAGGGTAAGATCTATATTTTACAAAATTTAAATGCATTGCTCACTAATTTATGTCTGGTACATATAATGCGTACATACTAAATTTTAATTAATTGTAAAATATTACAGCGCATAATATGATATGATGATTTATAGCTGTAATGAATAAATATTAATGTGCGCGATGTATTGACTTATGAAAACATAATTACAGAATAAAGTGGTTAACGTGGGTGATACGAAAATAAAACTACAGATATGGGACACTGCAGGCCAGGAAAGATTCCGAAGCGTCACCCACGCGTATTATCGAGACGCCCATGGTAAGATATTTTTTTTATCATTTATTTGTTTATTTATATAAATTTGCATGGATCATAGAAAACAATGCAATGTGTATTGATACTGAATTCTAAGTTGAATTTCAAAATTCCATTTAAAAATTAGAACTATAGTATAAATATTTATTAATTAAATTTTATAGAGCTTTAAGAACTTTTTTGGTAATATATAAAATACTTTTTTAGTAATTTCAAACATTTTTTTTTAATAATTATATTCACTGATAAAAAATTAACTTATTTGAAGAGCGAAAATTTTAAATCAAAAAAATAATTTTGAAGATTTTGATCATTTTAAATCAAGCAGAAAAATTCTTGAAAAAATTTTCTTGGCCTGAATACATTTTTCTTAATTTAAAATTTTTTTTTAATTTAAGATCGAATTCTTTAATGATTTTTTTAGTTCAAAAATTTTTTACTTGAATCAATTTGTTTTATTAAAAGAAATTCTTTAGGAGTTTCAAAGTTTCAAGGAATTTTTTGGTTGTAAAATACTTTCTTTGTCCAGAATTTTATATCCGAGATTTATTAATTCATAAAAAATTTGATAATTCCTTGAAAGATACTCTTGAAATTCAGTCTTACAAATATGTAACGCAAAAGAAAATGAATAAATACAAATTTAAATAGTAATTAAGTATGACGATGAATTATTGATGATTGATGATTTTCCAGCATTACTTTTGCTCTATGACGTGACGAACAAGACCAGCTACGATAACATCAGAGCCTGGCTTGGCGAGATCCGGGAGTACGCTCAGAATGACGTTGTTATAATGCTCCTCGGTTAGTGCGTTGGCTTAAATTATAGTAATATCATAACTAAGTAGTATAAAGTTCATAAGTACGGTCTATGTACTTGGTAATGTTATCCCAGAGAACTTTAATTTAATTACACATGTTAAAGTTTAAATTTCATTCCAACTAGAGTTAAGTATAGTTAACTACATGGTCAAACGGCGATTCTCGTTATGTTAAACTTTATTTAAAAATATAATTTTATGAGAAAGTTATTTATTTTTAAAATATTTAGGTAATAAGTCAGATTGCGGTAATGAACGTGTAATCAAGATTGAGGATGGCAAGCGGCTGGCAGACGAGTATCAAGTTCCATTCATGGAAACTTCTGCCAAGACTGGCCTCAATGTCGAGCTGGCTTTTCTTGCTATCGCTAAGTAATTTCATTATTATTATTATTACTATAATTATTTATTTATTAATTAATCTAAAAAAGATAGAGCTTAGAATAAATTTTTTTATTTGTGGAATTGATAATCAAACAAATGCATTACACATTTCGGTTCATTTTTCTTTTAAATAATAAATAAAAAAATTTTTTGATTAGCTAAGTTGAAAATTAAATTTTTGGATGCAAATCTAAATAATTATTTAATACTGTCAACAGTTTTTACACGTAGAGTTAATTTTGATATAAAAAAAATTTTTTTTATTACTATCAAATTTACTTTGTTGTAAAATAAAAATTTTGTAAAAAAATCAAGAAAAAATTAGTCATTTTTAATATTTTAGATTAATTTTTTATTAAAAAAAAAAAGTTAAAAACATCTAAAATGTTTTTTAATTAAAATAAAAAATATCAACCGATCAACAGATAATTTATTACATTTCTTTATTACTGACAACAAAAGTAACTCAAAAATATATAACAAAACATTTATCTAATGTTATAGGCAATTAAAAGCCCGCAAAAGCGGTAATCCAGACGACAGTAAATTCAATGTACGTGATTATGTACGACAAGAATCGCAACAAAAAAAAAGTACCTGCTTCAGTTCAAATTGCCAGACGACCTGAATTATTTCATATATGAACACATATGTAATAACGAATGGTGCTTACATCCGCGCGAACAATAGCATTGCAATTCTGCGCTTCAATATCCGACATCCAACTTTAAGCTGTTGAACATATATGAAAAAAAAAAATTATCATATAGTTATAAATATATATATGGAACCGAGGAATCACGTATTAGTATTCATTGGCTTGTAATGAATATAACACTCCAAGACTTTAATTGTATATGTATATACACATAAATTTACAAGGTGCAGGATGCCTATATGAATATATATTAAATTATATTATATACTCAACATTATTCAAATTATACGGAGGCTAAATCTGGGACAGGTTCTTGGATTTATATATATATATATATAATAATTAAAATTAATAATATAATTATTATTAACTATAAAAATAGAAATATATGTCTCATGAGCTTTTTTTAGTTTTCATTTCACATTTTTTTGTTTGAACAAGAGATGCGTACAAGGTTCTCATTATAATTTATAATATAATATATATAATAGTTTTAAATGATCACAATTGTCACAGCCATGAGATATTAGATATGTTAAAAATATAATAATAATTATTATTATTGTTATTATAGATGATAAAGTAATACAATACGTAGCGTACAAAAGAAACGACAAACAAAGCACACATATTTAATTTAATAATATATATTTGTATTTGACATAATAAATGGACGTTTTATTATGATGTGAACAAATTTATATTTTATCACTCTGTTATTCAACTGTTTCGTTGAATTCGAGGAATTATATCAAACATATTCCTATAAATGAAGCTAATTTTTATTAAAAATTTATGAAATTACTGATTTATCATTAATATTAATGGAATTCTGATGATTTGCTGTAATTGAATTGAAATTAATTAATAATAATTTGTGATTTAAAATTTTGTGATAAATTGTCTTCATTTTTCAATTTAAAATTGTTAGTTGCTAATTATAAATTTATTCACTTAAATTTAACCCCTGATAAGCACACATCTAAACCGTATACATCTTTAGGCATTGAGGGTGAAAAGTACCCAACATATTTCATTTTCAAATATCTTGGTCCCTAATAAAGTTAGAGAATTTTTTTTTTTTTTTTAAATCAAAGCTCAAAAAATTCTCTATAAAATAAATATAATATTAAATTAATTAGTGCCAATTAAAATAGATAAAAATACTATCGAAGTTTAAATATAGACAAAGAATTATAACGAAATAAAATTTTGGGATGGGTACTTTTTACCCAGTGTGCTTGTCAGGGGTTAAACACCGTTAATTTAGGATATATTATTATTACAATACAAGGACACTTGGGATCAAGAAAAAGTTAATTAACTTAGTAGTAAAATTATATAGTTAAATTAAATAGAGGGTGTTTATAAAGTTTGGATCTGATGATTGTGATCTAAATTAATATGACCCGGGATGAAAATTTTTTAAATTATTATTTATGTATCGTAAGATATTTTCGGATTCGGATAAATTATTTTAAGCTGAATATCTATGAACATTTTTATTTAAAATGAAATATTTTTTCGTTATCATTATATGCAATATTAATAAGTTTTACTCTAATTTCATCTGCATATATTACCACTTTACCACTGTAGTGACGTTAACTGTCACAATTTTTTTTTTTTTTTTTATCAAGACATTTAAAAATAATCTCTTAATATAATTCTTTAATAAATTAATAATTGCCTTAAATCAAACGAATTGATAACTTGATTTTTTTTTTACTTCTCTGGGAACCAAGACAAATCGAACAATTTAAAATTATACTTTTACATATTTATTTCCAGTACTTTCCAAAGAATCGTAAAAATAAATTTATTTCTGTACATTAATTAAAAAATAAATAAACTTGATCATTTCGACCAAAAGATCTATTTTATTTACTAATTATTTAATATTAGTTGTTCAAAATAATTAATCAAAGGAGATCTTGAATGAAGTAACTTTGTTTATTTTTCCACAAATTGCAATTAATTATAACTTATAATAATTTTATCTTGTTACCACTGATAAAAGCAACAAAAGTTTTAAACAGAATTATATAACTTTAGAAAAAAGAATATATGTATGTTGTAGTTTTATCTTAGAATGAATATTGAAAAATAAAAAATGAGCTTTAAATATAATAAAATATAAATAAGATTATTGTTTAATTCAATTTTTTTATCAAATCAAATAATTTTGTAATTTAATTTACCGAAATGTTTATATTGAAAATATCAATAAAGAAATTTGTTTCGATTAATTTTTTTCGTAAAATTTCTTGCCTTCCAAAATTATTATTTTAAATTATAATTTTATGTTGTATCATTATGATGTGTCAACGTTCTAATTAGAAAATTGTTTTTCGATTTTAGGAGATCTTTCATTTATGCGAAAAAAAGGAAATTATGTACAATATTTTTTTTCTAGATTTTTCGAATATTTTTTTTGGATTATTATTCAAAAATTTTTTTGTAATAGTGACTAATTAGTTTTCACTTAAAAAATCCGAATTTATTCTGATCTTTCAAATTTTTTATTATGTATTTTTAATAAATCATTTTTTTAAATCTGACATGAGTTTTTAATTGTCACATATTTCTCTCGAATCTAAGACAAGTAGCTTGCGCTATCTACCTGTAAGAATTAAAAACAAACATTATCACTTGTCGGTAAGGACGTAGCACTAAATTTCTATGACGTTAAAGTTAATTAACACTTGATAATTTTTTAATTTTATTTAACAAACAAATTTATCCGAAAAAAATTAATTTTAAAAAATTGCGTAGTAAAAAATAACGTAGTAATTAACTCTACACATTTTTTAACAATCCCATTGTTTATTTTTAACTAATAATTTAACTAGTTATTTTTATTTTTTTTTCTCTTATCTTTTTATTTTTGAATTTTAGTAGAATCTTCTCAAATGATTATTTATTGTGTATATGTATATTTTCTAACCGATTGTATCAATACGGGATGTACTTATCTTGAAACAATAAATATTATTATTATTATTATTATTATTATTATTATTATTATTATTATATATTACTGATACAAAAACCACAATAATAAATAAAAATAAAATATTTCTATTTTATTCAAATAATAATAATTATTTAAAATTTCAAAATTTCCCGCGTTTCTTAAAAGCTAAACTTGGTACCTCCAAACATGGATAGAGGCGCTGAAATCAGCTTCAAACCCGGAATAGTGTGAAAGAGAACCGTTGGTCCGTCATGTCGCTTTTAAACACAAATTGTAGCTAAAGCTGTCGGCTCGGCAAATGTCGGCCTGCAAACAAAACGTTGCGTCCCTAACCTGCCGCCAATATCTGCTTCCAAGTGTTGCTAAAGCTCCCAGTTGTTGTTATTGTTATTGTTGCTGTATGTAATTATTTAACAGTAGCTAGAATAAAAAAATAGTTAACTAAGTTGACGTAACAACAGTACCTGGTAAAGTAAACTGATAATATTAATAAAACAATATTAAAACCGTAGATCGTGGTGGTCTGATTATCCACAATGGATGATGATGTGGTCGAGCTGAATAACGTTGAAAATCTCTGCAGACTATGTCTATCATCAGACGACCCCAAGTCTCCGATATTCGGGCTCCAGGAGGCGTCGGTCTCGCTAGCGGATAAAATTCAAGCATGTCTATCAATCGAGGTAACTTTTAAAGTCTATTCAAGTGTAAATAAGTATTATTTTCTTTAGTACTTTTTGATCCGGTACTGATCGTGAGTATTGAGTCTAGTCTCGAGTGGTGTGCTGTAACCTATAGTCTCACCTTCAATGACAAAATGAAGTCCGACCATCGGTTTTTTTTTTTTTTTTTTTTTTTATTTATTTGAGTTATCAAACATTGAAAATTTACAGATTTTGCTGACTGACAAATTCTCAAAGCTGATTTGCCTTAAGTGTCTCAAAAGCGTCAATCAGTGGCATAATTATAAGGAATCATGTCTCAAGTCTCAGGAAAAGCTGCAAAGGTGGCTTGTCAAGCAAGCAGAAATTACTGTCGCTGTAAGTTTATTTTAGTTATTTATTTTTTTTATTATGAAAAAGTGGCAGAAGTTTGTTCATTTTATTTTTAAAAATTAGAGTGAAAAAAAAATTTTTAAAAAGTTTATTGATGATTTTTTAAATTTCAAAAAAGTGTTTTTTTATAATTTTGATAACTTTTTAGATTTTTTTTTTTTTTTTATAAATTACTGTAAAAAAGAAGTTGGAAAAAAAATTCTATATGTATAAATTTTAAATAACTATAAGTGTAAATTTTTTTTTCAACTATTTTTGGTATCAATTAATTTTTTTAATGAAACAAAAGTAAAGTTAGGTGTTTATTGATTTTAGTTTCATAAAAAAAGATATTATAATTTTTGGGATTCTTATGCAAATAATGTATAAAGAAAGTTTCAAGATATTTTTTTTTTAATAATTGATATTTATGAAGTAAAGATATTAATATGCTATTTATGAAAATAGATGCCAGCAATAAAGACCGAGCCACTGGACATAGAAATATACGAAGACAATATCGAGATCGTTGAAATGTCCGAAGATGAATTGAACCACGAACTACCAAATGATAAGATTAATTCATCGGAAATGGCCACCCGTGCGAGCCACCGGATGGATATTAATTTACACAACGCAGGTAAAAAAACTATACAACAATTGTGTAAAATTACTTTTTAAAATTTTTATGAAATATTTAAATTTCAATACAGTTGCATAATTTAGGATAACTGTAGATTAAAAATTCAGTACTGATTTTTGATTTTATAGGCACTTAGGATTTTTAAAAAATCAATTTGTTTTTTTCATTTAATTTTTGTAATGTACATTTATATAAAGCAGGCCAAAAAATGTTTAATACGCTCTTGTAGTGAAAAAAAAAATTTTTAAACCAAAAGGGTGTAAAAAAAATTTATTTTTATGTTCTGTCATTTTGCTTAAAAAATTGAACGTCTGGCTATACAAATTGAAAATTTTTTTAAATTCGAAAATTTTCTGAATTGAAAAATGTTCTCAAAAAAGCAATTATCATTAAAAAATTATATTTATTAATTTATTAGAGTTGATTTCTTTTTTTTAATTAAAATAAAATTTCAAGTGTCAATAACTGGGTCTCTTATTTTAACAATTTTTGTATTAATCAATTGAAAAGCTTCTCGAAAAAAATAATTAAAAATTCTAATAATAAATCTTTAAAAACAGCAGAACCAACCGACGACGAGGAGGACCTGGATTGTAACATTGACGTGGAATCAATAAACGAGAACGAGACCGAGAGTGAACTGTTACTGAACCCAATGGCCCTGGGCGCGAACAAGAACATGGAACCCGACTCTACCCAAAAATTCAACGTCCGCGCAGTCAGAAAAAAAGTACGCCGCGGTCCCCACACCCACTTCCGCGGTCCAAGAACCTTCAAGCGTCGTTGTCCCGACTGCCAGCACGTTCTCCACTCAAAATCCTCCTACGCCCGGCATATAAACCGGTACCACCGCGATGGACCCACAGCAGAGCTCTCTAATTCTATCCCGAACTCCCAGCACAATGGCGCCCCCTATCCGAGCGAAGACGCGCAGTCAGCAGCTGAAGAAATCGAGGACGTCGAAGACGAGCTGGTCAGTCTCGAAAAAGACGCTCCCCTCACCCAGGTCCAGGAGTCAATTATCAGCCAGCTTAAGACCTTTTCCTGCTACGCCTGTCAGCAGTCCTTCAACGACCGTCGCAGCACTTTGAACCACATCCGCCAGCACATGCCCGACCTAAGACCCTACACCTGCATCGCCTGTCTCACCGAGTTCCCCGATCGTTCCATTTACAAGCTCCACTGCGGCGCTTCCTTCGAATGTGCCATGAAGATCGCCCTGGTGGTTCCCAAGCACGGAACAGAGAAGTACTTCACCTGCAACATGTGCTTGAGACCCATGCCGAACCGCAAGGAGCTGATTGCTCACTTGTCCAAGCATTCGGATCGCCAGTACGAGCAGTTGACCGCACCCGGTAAGAAACCTCCCAAGTTGAAGCCAGTCAGTTCGAATTCAAATTCTGCTGGTCAACTTCCAGCAAAGTCTACTACTTCTAGCGCTGCTTCTACCACAATTGGACCCTATCGGAACGGGGATCCAGCTCACAATCACACCTGCGATTTCTGTGGGATGATTTACCGCTACAAGCCAAATATGATAAAGCACCAGGACCTTTGCAAGCGATTGCCTCCAGAGGAACGGACTTCCTACCGTTGCGTTCATTGCGGTATGACTTTCCTGGTTTTCAAAAAGTTCCAGTCTCATATTGCTGCTGAACACAACAAAAAAGAGCTCATTTGCTTCGTTTGTAACAGCAAATTTCGGTACGCAAATGAATTTTTAATTCACCATCAGAAGCACCGGATGATAAACAAAACCGCAGAGACCCACGCGATGAACCATTGGAACAAAACTGTTACCATGAAATACGGCTGCGCTGTTTGTCCAGAGCAATTTGATACTAAAGCTGAGTTGGCTGATCATCGCACGACTCACTTGAAGGTTAAGATCTTCTCCTGTAGCATTTGCCGAAGAATGTTTGGCAATTCTCAGGCGCTTAAGGAACACATGAGCGAGGACCATTCTCCGGAATTGGACCCTAATATTTCGGCGTTGGACTTCCTGGACCAGAGTAATGAACTTCCGAACACCAGTAACTGGTCGGTTAACACAGACCCGGGAGCTCGAAGTACCGAGTGCACTGTTTGTGGAAAAGTATTCGCGAATTATCCGAATTTACGGAGACACATCAGATCGGTTCATGCTGGTGATGATAGATTCAATTGTTCCAAGTGTACCAAAACGTTTACCAGCGAAGCGGAACTTGCTGAACACAATGAGAACGCGCATACTGAGGCTACCCATCGTTGCAAGTTCTGCAAGAAGAAGTTCTCCAATAATCGTGCCCTGGAGTCGCATCAGCAGACCGCTCATGGGGTCAATGATATTAATTTGGCTTGCGATATTTGTGGCAAGCAATTTGGAAATGAAACTTCGTTGAAAATCCATCGAGGACATCATTTCCGGCGCGACTCAAGGCTCAGTATTCGGAACATGCCGCATCCCATGGACCAGGTCCAGGTTGAGATGAACGAGTCAGTGGAGATTGTGTCACCTAGATCTGGTCGGAAGAAATCTACTCACCGAAGGTCGTCTTCGCCGAAGACTTCGGAATTAAAGTGTCAGGTTTGCGATGACAAGTTCTCGGATGTTCATGATCTGAGGAAGCATTTGTGGGATGTACATTGCGCGAAGAACAAATCTGAAAAATCTTTTATGGAAGAAAATTCACTGCAGTGCGAACTTTGTACCAATGTTCTGCCGGATGAAAAGAGTCTGGAGGAACACATGAAGTGGCACAAAGACAATCCTATTTTATCGGATGGATTGCCGAGGGCTGTAGATATTTCTTGCGACGTTTGTGGCAAGTTTTACAGCTCGATGAAAGCCCTGTGGAAGCACAAGAAGCTGCACAGCAAAACTGGAGTTACTATGAAGTTTTCTTCGGTTAAAAAAGCTGCGCTTTCACAGTTCCCCTGTCCAGTTTGTAGGAAAGTATTTGGGAACGAAACTTCAATGAAGAAACACAAAGCGGCTGCGCATTACGCGCGGCGCACTATTGCTGCGCCTATTGTTACGACAAAGGTGGCGCGAAAGTCGATCAATGAAGGTGAGGTTAGGCCCAAGAGACCTAAATTAGATTTTGATATTATTCGCAAGGCTTACAATCTAGAACCGAGCGGTTACGTCGCTGGTGGAAGTAATAGTAATAATAATAGTAATAGTAGTAAAAAACCGGTTACTTGTGGAATTTGCAAAAAATTATTACCGAGTATGAGCTCGTTGTACAAACACCGGCAAAACGTCCATAAAAATTTTGACAAATCGTTGGAGAACAACGAAGACAACAGCAGAAACGACTCAATTTCTAGAAACGAGGAAGAGAGTCCCGGAAAATCTCGGGTTCCTTGTACCGAGTGTGACAAAGAATTTTCTACCTTGTCAAACATGAAGCAACATTTGACTAAAGTCCACGGTAACGGGAATAAGTACCACTGCAGCGCTGATGGGTGCAATCAGTACTTCAACTCGCCCTTGGCTAAGCAGTTACATGAAAAAACGCACATGAATGTTCTATACAGGTGCGCTATCTGTGCGCGTCATATGTTCCAGCGCAGTGCGATGATTCAGCACCTTACTACTGAGCACAAAGGTCAATACTCGTCTAGTGTTGAAAAAAGCCTTTACAAGAAAACTGACTTGAGCAATTACCAAGTTCACGGAGCTGAAGGACGTGTCTGTCCAGTTTGTAATGTTACTTACCCTAATATTAAAGCCATGAAGATTCACTACGTTAAAATTCATGAAAATAGTTAAAAGTTTGATTTGATGATTTTTATTTTTCACCGTGAATTATTGATGGGACTAATGAAAAACAGTGACCAAATTTTTAGTCACTTTATTCTTAAGTCTTTAAACTATAAATTATGCAGATAGTTTTTTATTTTCAAATATTTGTTATTGATTAAATATTAAGTGTAAATACTGACATTCATTATATATTGATATATCTTCCTAATTATTAAAAAAAAAAAAAAAAAAAAAAAAAAAAAAAAAAACATTTATAAATATATATATATATAAAAATATTTATATATACATACATATAGATAAAATTAATATATGTGTGTATATATATTTTTTTTAACGTAGATCAGTTGAGTGATGATTTTCTTTGATATCTTCCGATTTATTGAGTGACTTCACTTTTCTTAATTAATATGATTAATATTAATATCATTATTATGTTATAATTAATATTAATTAATTAACGATAAGTATTGATAAGGACAATTGTAAATCTCCATATGCGAGACAATAACGGATGTAATTGTTTTTTTTTATTTTAGTTTTATAAAAATAATTAATGATAATTAATTTTTATAACATTATTATATTATTTAATGTATTATTATTATTATTATAATTAATCAGGTTTGATGTCACATAATTTTGAGTCTAAAAACAAAATAAATTTAGTGTAATTCAATTGAAATAAATAATAAATTACTGAATAATTTTTAATTCCAACAAACATTTTTTTTTTTTTTTTTTATTAATTTAAAATATAATTATATAAAAAAACTATCTATCTACGGATTATGTTTTTTTTACGAGATTCAAGAGTTAGAAAAATAATCCGAAGGTGGCAAAGAAACACTAGAATGACCCAAAATGGGATAAGGTAACGAAGCCACACCTTTGATCCACTTGTTACGTCTGCAGCAAAAACACTCGACGGACTTCAATGTTTTCATGTGAACTGTGGTAACGCCGCCAATAACAAGCAGCTGGTTATCTAGGTATTGATCATTAAAAAAATATGTTCTATTATAACTGACTACAAAAATTTATTTTATCTTTTATCTGATAGCAGAATAAAGAATTAGAGACGAAAAAAATTAAATTAATATGTATTAACCGATTGAACTGATTGAGTGGTTGTGCCTAGCGGTGGACATTTTGCTAATTTGTTGCCAATTTCGGGAGCTAGGCTCCCATATGTCAACTGTCGGGATACTTTCCGTCATGTTGTCATCAGTTGAAGATTTTCCGGCTCCCCCAACTAGGAACAAATTGTCAGATATTACGCACAGACATGCGTAACATCTTGCTGATGGTAAACTCTCGATTTTTGTCCATCTATAGAGTAAAAAAAAATTTTCTTAAATCATTCACCTTTTATGGTATAATAAATTTAGTTATTTGCTTACGATTTTTTGCAGGGATCATAGCATTCAACTTCTTTCAACAGAGGATCTGTGATTGAATTACTTATCCCTCCAGCGACCCAAATTAAATTCTCGAACGTCGTAGCAGCTAATCCAACACGTGCAATGTTCATCGGTTGCATTTTTTTCCAAATTTTTTTTGCTGGGTCAAAAGCCTCTACACTTCTCAAAGTGCTGAAAAAATTTTTTAAGATTACACATGCACTTGAAATTTTTAAATATCAATTTTTTTAAGTTAATTTCTGTAATCTATATATCTTTATTTTTATTAGTTAGTTTTTTTTATAACTAAGAAACTGGTACATAAATGCAGAGAGCGTTATAGGTGGTCAATCGACTTTAAATTTTAAGGGTAATTGTATCATCATGTCCTTAATAAGTACACAAAAATTGAGAATTTTCTGACGGTTACCTTAACCACGACAACTACCTTAATATTTAAAAGTCACTCGAAAGGATTTTAAAAACTTTACTTTAAAAGTTTTAAAAATCCTGAGCGACCCTTAAAATTTTTTTCATCGATCTGATTTTTGCACAGGTTCTTCAAACATGATGAACTAACATATTTTCATAGGAGACTCGTAAAATAAAAATTTAATGTCAATTAAGCCGTCTCGAAGCATGCCGCACTTTAATGTGGTCACTACTGCCAGTAAATTAATTTTCGTATTAATTTTTAATCAATTAAAAAGCCTCTTATCTTTAGAAAAAATTATTTTAAAAAAATTTTTTTCGTTTTTGTATTGTAAGAACGTTTGTTTTCTCAATTAAAAATACTTACACTCCATTATTATCTTCACCGCCGACAGCAAAAATTTTACCGTCGCAGACAACAAGCCCAAAATTTTTCCTCGGAGTTAGCATTGCCGGTTCAGTGAACCATTTCCTGGAGGCGGGATCATAACTCCAAACAGTCCCGACAACTGAATTTTTCCTTTGAAGTGAATTTTCACGTGGATCAGCACCGCCTTCGACAAAGGATAAATTATTTCGCGACCAGCATACAGTGAAATAAAAAATAAAACATAAAAGATGAAAATATATGTATTATATTATATTATTATTATTATCATACCAGCAACATAAAGACGTCCTTTGAAATAAACAACGGAATGATGATGCCGTGGTTCTGGCATCTCGCCAACAAACTCCCAAATATTTTCCAATGGTTTTAATCGGTAAATATTTTTACCCGTATTGCCAGCTACTCCGTACTCCTGGTGTGGATCTATTCCACCGAAAACTATGACAGTTGGTTGTTCGTTTAAAAACAATGATTCGTTGGGACAAATTAATTTTTTATTCATTGTTACTTTTGTTTCTTTGGTAATATTGTTGTTGTTGTTGTTATTGTTAATAGTTAAATTTTTATGATTGTTGGGTGAATATGAATCATCGATGTCCGTTGAACTGTATGACACGGATATTGAGCCAGTTTTATCGTCCGAGTTGTACAAAAAATTCGGCGGTTTTATCATTTCGATTGGCTTACATGCATCAATCTGATTTATTGCATTGTTTGCTATTGACACGCAGTATGACTTGGCTATTTTCTCTCCATCAGACGTAGATTGAAGTGTCTCCATCATGTCCAACTGAAATATAACGCCGCTATAAATAATACGCACTCTGTTCATGGTTATCATCATTTTTAATCTAAACCTTTATGCATTATAAAAAAGTTTTAATTTTAATTCTTTAAAAAACTATTTTTAATTGAAAATTTTTTTCTTTTATTTTAGTTATTAAATTAAAAATTAATTTTTCAAATTATAACTTGAATACTTAAATTAAAAACTAAGTCTCCAATTTATGATCCTTATAATTAAATAAAAAATTTTTTTCTCCTATTAGGAAAAAGTAGCATCGTCACCATTTTATTGAAAAACAGCTAAAAGCGTAAATTTTAAACTTTCAAATGAAAAAAAAAAAAAAGATCAATTTTTCGATTTGTTACACTCAAAAATATGTTGAGCCTAACTTCTGCATAATTACCTTTTTTTTCATAAAAAAAAATGATTAATTTTAAATATTTAAAATGATTGATACAATTTTTCTTAACCAAAGAATCTTTTCTTAATTTTAGAAAAAATTTCTATTCTAGAACACAATAAATTTGATAGTTATAAATATTTTTTTTGAAAAAAATGAATTTCACAAAAAATTTCTGTATGTAAAAATTATTTGAAGAATTCAATAATTTTTAAAAATCAATGCTTAGATTTATACTCAAAAATTAAATTTTCAACTTAGTAAATCACAAATTTTTTTAATATTATAAAAAATAAATATTAGATTTTACTATAAATGAAATATTATTCAGATTTATAAATAATAAAATTGATTATACTATTTTCTTATCAAACTCCGGACTCACCATCTTTTTATTATCAATTTCATGGCGAGTAACTTTTTTGCTTCCTTGTAAATCAATCTTCGGATTAAGTTTCCTATATGTGTTTGCACAAGTAACATTTTTATCGTCAGAGTCATTAGAGGACTGGCCAAAAGTATTTTTTTGGTCAGCAGACAAAAGTTGGGCTACTTTAATGCGTTCATTTTGGCCAATGGAGCCGGGTTTCCCCCGAATTTGATTATCACCAGACGCCAAACAGTAGTTGGTCGGATAGGACAGTTTTTTAGGCGGCAAACTATTCGGCTCGCACAAGCTTGTCAAACACTGTTGAATCTGAATTTGCTGGTTTTGGTAATTCACTTGAGACATCTTGAGCTCATCATTGCGCCGAATGTCCAAGTTTACTGCTGCATTGCCGATTTCACGAATTTTTTTTTCTTGTTCGTTATCCTTCGGCTGGGCATCCTGAAAGCACATCGAAGTTGGCAAACTTAGCGAGATCGATCGCAACTGCATTTAAACTCACCTAAATTGGATTTCACCCAACGAAAAGCTTGTGCTTTTTCCCCCAGTTGTTTCTCGATTTATCGGTATATTATATATTATATATTATATATGTAATATGTTTATATATATATATGTGTTATTACTAGTTCTTAAAACTCCATAGTACAAATAAAATATAAGTATGAGTATAAGTTTGTACATACATTCAGAGTTAATATTTGTTCGAGAAATAAACGGGAAAAAAAACAAACCTTGCTTTTTTCTTTTTTTGCAATCAGAGTTTTTCCAATCGATCGCGAATCGCGAAGCTTTCATTACTTTTAAACAAAACAGCTGCCTTTCAATTTTTAATAAAATTCCTTTTTCATTAAGGAAATTCAATTTACGGGCTGTAAAGTTTCAAGAATAAAACTTTATAGTTCGATAAAAATAAGTTTACCTTAAGTATGAAATAAAAATTTATAACATTGAAATATTTAATCAATATTTATCAGCAGCTGTCCTATACTTTATTTATTATAAATATTTATTTTATTTATACCTCTAATCAAATTCAAAAATTAGAAAATTTTATAAAAAAAGATAAATTTTTTGTATTAAAATTTAAAGCATGTAATAACTTAATAATAACGAAAGCTAAAATAACATTTTTAATATAGTTACTGCCTGCAACTAATACCAAATTCACGTGACATTTGCGTGCGTAAAGCTAAGTTAAGCCAAAAACGATCGCGTGAATAAAATGAAAATCTACATCAGTGTGACATTAAAATCCTAATTGCCACAATAATCTCAACCGCAACTTTATATCTACTGCGCCATCATTAAATTAGAATAAAGTGGTCAGTTCATTAATTCAACAGTTTTGTTAAATTTAAAGCCCAACTAGTTTTAATGATCATGGGTTAAGGTGGAGCAAAAAATCAATTATTTTTATTTTTTTAGTCTCCTAAAAATATGCTGACATATCAAATTTTAACAAACCTCTCCAAAAATTAATTCAATAAGAAATTTTGTAGAATTCTCTCAAGATTTTTTTATAATTTATAAAATCGTTAGATACTGAATTTTTTTTCCCAAAGATATAGATATTAAAAAGAAAAAAAAAAAAATAAAGTACACAGTAAAAAATTTTGCGTCATTGCGTCAAAAAACTTAGTGTTGAGTATTTAACATTTTTATGTGTAAATTTAACATTTATTCTGTTAAATCAACAACAAAAAAGTGTTAAATATTTAACATAAAAATTTTTAATATAAAATTTTTTGACGCAAAATTTTTTACGGTGTACGTGTATTTTTAATAGGAAATAATTCTATGAACTGAAAAAGTACGTAATTTTTTTTATTAAAGGTTCAAATTTTTAGGAAATTTTGTTTGATATTTTTAACAAAATTTTCCGTTTGAAGTGAAAAAAAAATAAATACTCAGAAATTTTTATAAGAGATTTAAAAAAATAAAAATATTGAAATTATTGTACCGCTCATATTAATCATAGACTTTAATATTCCTACAAAGCGAATTTATAAATAAACACTCAATAAAAATAAATGTGAATTTGAATTTAAATAAGATCGCTAAATCAAGCCTATTGTCAAGCTTAAACTCACCACTTTAGTACGATTGCCATCAAGCCTGCTCAAGTACTTGTTGAGAAATTCTGGAGCTTCCGAACCAATACGTTCCGAGATTGGTGGTGGTGGCATCTTTTTAAACTTCCAAGATCTTGTCCCGTTGTTTGGCGCAGGAGCCACTTGACCTGCATCGACAATCAAGTTTGATTTGGCTCTAACTTACTTACTAACTAACTAATAGGAATAAGAATAAAAATAAGTAATTAACATAAATTACCATTAGTGGTTTCTACCCCGAGATTCTGGCTCTGATAATAATTGACCCAAGTTTTTGCCTCGGAACATTCGCTCTTCTGATTAGTATTAGTCGAAGTATTACTATTACTCTTGCCCTTGCGCGACTTTAATTCCAGCATCATGCTTCTCTGATAATCTTCGAGGTAGAGGAGAAATTCCTGGTAAGTAACATAATTCTTGTCCTCGCCGGCCCAGTTGCGGCTTGTTGGTTCTGTTAAGCCCAGAAGATCGATCCACCGGTAGTAATCCTCCGTCTGGTTCCCATACCAGTGTTTTATTATCACGAATCTGATGATGATGATGATGATGATGATGATAATAAAAAAATAATTACAATAGTTCTTTTTTACCAGTTGAGTTATTTAATTGAAGATGTTTCTTACGCCAATCCATCGTCGACCATCTTCTGGACCTCAGGATTGGACATCAGCTCCATGAATTCTGGGTTCTCGGGGTTGCGTTTCACCTCAACTAATTGCCAAGGAGCAATCAAACCAAATCGCACACATTTTAGCACACTCAGCATGTACTGACGTCTGGTTTCCCAGTCGTGCATTAACCATCTGACTGCCGACATCAAAACCTCCATTTCGCTTAAATGACAATATTAATTATTACTGCGTTTAAATTGTTAAAAATTATTATTACTATTATTTCCAAAGAAATTTTTTCTTGCCATTCAACTCAAAATTGTTCAGACCATTAAAAAATTAGTAGAAATTTTTTTAATTATTAATGTCAAAAGGGCGTAAGTATCTTAATATAATTTGAAACAATTTTTTCTTTTAATTTTTAAGCTTAGAACATGTTGGCAAAAAAGTAGTTAGTAAAAAAAATTTTTAATACGTCCTTTTGACATTTGTTATACGATGTGACAAAATCTCCTTCAGACAAAATATCTCTTGACAAAATAACTCTTTCCCGTGTGATTGTTATGAGTAATTATTTTTTACTATATTAGCTACTATACGAACATTATTTCATTGTTTATTGAAGCGTGATTTTGTGTGTGTTTATCTAAAAATACACCAAAATATATACTTGTTACCGTGTAGTGCCCTTTTATTATGGATTTTGTCTGTGTTTATTCGACAGTAGACCAACACATAAGCTTGTTATCGTGCTGTGTGCCTTTTTGTCTGCGGTGGGTATTTTAAATAGTATTATGATGATTAAAATCTCTTTACTTAATCTCTTTTGTATTCCCCCTTATACTGGGGAATATTTTGTCAGAGGATATTATGTCAAGTAATATTTTGTCCTTGGGATATCTTGTCCTTTGAATATTTTGTCGGGGGCTGAAAACGCGCAGTACCGCGTTTTCGATAATAATAAACATAGTTTGGGTATTTTTTAAATAAATTTTAGAGATAATATTGCTATTAAACAATCAATTAAAAATAATTTAATCGAAAATGTGACGGAACAAACTTATAAAACCGACAAATTATTTAAAATTCCTCCAAAAACTTAACATTAGAAATTGACTATCGCCAAAAAATATGTAGAAAGGCATAAATTTATGTCGAGGCTTTTTCAAATATACCAACTTAACTATAAAAATTTCTTTTAAAATAAAAATATGCTCCTCGAGAAATCTTCTTCAATTTTATAATTTTTTAGACGATAAATTGATCATCCCTAAAAAAATACCAATCCGTGAAAAGAAACAAATTCAGATTACGATTTTTTTGATGGTACTAAATTTTACTATAAAAACCCATTTTTTAATAAAGATATTCCCGGCACAAAGTTTTTAACTTTTCGCTATAAAAACGTTAAGACTTTGTCAATTACGCTTAAATTTAATTATAATAGTTTACTTTACCATAAAAGCACACCAGAGACAAATTTTTCCCTATTCTCTTAATTATAAGGATTATTATTATTATTATAGTTTAAAATATTTACCTGTTGACACAAATGTAGTTCGAGCGAAGCAGTAGACAGAGTTCTTCTACTTGAAGTTCGAGAAAGTCCTTGGTACTTACAAGCAACAGAAAAAACTTCATTATCCTCGGCACCATCAATTCCATTACTGGTGTATTTCCGAGCTTCCGAGCTTCTACGTACAATAAAAACGCAGTATCTTCCGAAAATAAATCATTGTTATCGATAAACGCCCAACACTGCTCCTCTAATTCTGGAGAAAACATAAATTTAAACGAATTTACACATTATTTTTTAGTTGTCATTGTAAACATTATGATTAACGTTAATGCAACAACCGTTAATAAAAATTTAACGACGAGTGTTTTAGTTGTTAGCGTTCAAATTTATTGTTGGATTTTCAAGCATAATACTATTTTAGATGACGCGTAAATTATAAAAAGACAGGATTATTTTTAACGTGAGATTAATGCTCGGATCAGAGGACATTTTTATATCAAATTCTGTGTCCGCGAACCCGTTAAAGCAAGGTGATTGAAACAAAGCTCCAGTGAATGACACGGCAGTAAAAAATGATCTTTTTTTTTTGTCAGTCATTTTCAAGGTTGTAATGAAATAAACAATGATTTAAAATACTAAAAAAAAAATAATTTAATCGAAAATTAAAATTTAAAATTAAAATTTATAAATAAAAAAATGCATTTTAATGTAAAGAAAACGAGGGTTACTAAGGAATATGATGTTAATACTTGTAAAATTATTACAAAAATATCTTTAGTCACTCGACGCTTTTTTATAATAAGAAAAATTTTTTGTTGATTGCTTTGTTATTATTTTCCACTTTTTAAATAAGTTTGTTGTTAAGCCGTTTTTTTATTTTTTTAAACTATATAATTTATTTAAAAATTTTTTAGTATAATTAAACATAAGAAACTCTTTTTTGTACTTTAATAATTCTGATTAGGGCAGTAAAATAAATTTATCAAATTATTGAACTTTTATCGTTCCTTAGTAGGTGTGAAAATTAAAAATTTATCAGAAATCTATTAGATTCTTACAAATGAAGTTTTTTGGTGTCTCAGGAGTCTTTTTTTTTTTTTTTTTTTCAATTTTTCAGTTGGGTATATTTAAAAAAATTTTTTTATCTTATTTTTTCAGTAATATTCTACATTTCTAACATTCCCAGGGTGATTGGAGCAAAAAATGTTTTTATGCGCTCTTTTGGCATTAGTAACTTGACATACAGGTCAAGTTAATAATAAATAAAATAAAATGAAAATAAGAAAATAATGAAAAACTGTTATATTGTTAAATAATTTCTAATCTAAATAATCAATCTACTAAAATTTATTTAAATAATTCAAAATAAAAATAATAAAATTACTCAGGAAAAAATAATTCTCAATTTACGCGTTTTAATTACTGATCATTCAAATACTTGAAACTGTAAAATATCAATACATTAATTTTGTCTATAATGAAAATTTTTTTTTCTGGTCACTGATCAAAACACTCGGTAAAACTAATACAAATTAAATTTTTGTTGCACGTAAAATTGTTCGACAAAAAAATCAAGTTCATTCAATATCAGTGGGAATAATTTTTTAATGAATTAGTAAATGATGCAACAAGCAAACCTTTAATCCCGAGAAACTGCGCAGCCATAAATATTTCTAAAATATTATCACGCCTCAGCAGTTGACAGCTCTCATTACTCTCACTGATCATCCAGTCATATATAATTGAAAATGCCTTTGAAGTAACACTGCTCTAAAAAAACATAATAATAATTATTATCATGCATATCATTAGTAATAAAAGACATCATCATCATTATTTTTACCACGCACTTTATCAAGGTAGGTTTTTTACTTAATTTATCAACCGAGCCCACGAAATCAATATTCATGATTTCTACTCCGTCATAAGAAAAAAAAAAAAATAAAAAAAAACAGACATGTGTTATTCGTTTATCGAGTGATATGACGACAGCGGCTTTCAATGCTGCCTATTTTCCATCAACACTTACACGAAGATAAGGGTCAAGTGGTAAAAAGATAAAAAGAAGAGAAGAGTATAGTGTAGTCCATATTACGCTGTCTACCCGAAGGTCGATTAGCTTCACGTGACGGAGGGTCAAAAAATATCCATGCTGACTAGATGGATATTGTTCTCCAAGCTTGATCGTTTGACCCAACAGTTTTTCTATTGACTTTGTCCGGAAATGTGTATCACATTTCATCTCTCGTCTATCATCAGCATCACTACACTCCTTTTTATCCGTCTCGAACAAAATAACAAAAGACCTTATCAAGGACAAAGAAAACCACATCCTCGTCTTTGTGGAGCAATCTTTTCTATTCACAGATCCCACCTTTCAACAATTTTAATTTACCGTGAATGTTATTCCCGTATTGGAATAATTTCAATCAAAGTAATGGAATTATTATTTGACAAGGGGAATTCTTTCTTTAGATAACTAAATTATATTAAAATTTTAATTTTTTAAGAAATAGAAAGTGCTGAAGATTGACTTTCTTCAAAATGAACCTTAATGATCAATAGAGTGGCGATAAAAAACTGAGTATTTTTATTTTTCGAGTCTCCTATAAATAATTTAGTTTATTTATATACTTATTAAAAAATAAGTTAGTTTATTATAATTTGAGAGCTTCTCAAAAAACCAGCTTAATAAAAAAATTTTTAGAAGTCACTCAAAATTTTTGAAAGTTTTGAAATACACAGAAAAAATAATTATTAGAGACCACTTTTTAGTCTTTAATAAATATTTCCTTGTATTTAAAAAGATTTATTAATATTTAATAAATCAATATCAGATTTATTAAATACAAACAAATCATTTTAAATACTAAAAAATATTAGTTTAATACTAAAAAGTGGTCTCTAATAAATGATTTGTTAATTATGAACAAATATTTTTTTATACAAATAAATCCTTCTATCAGTGTAGCAACTTTTGGATATTAATATCAAGAAACTTTAAATTATTTTCTATCAAATTGATACACTCAACAATATAAATAAACCATTTTGATATTAATAATAGTCAGACAAAACAATTATTACTACTGTAATTTAATTAACAAATATTTATACGGTATTTAAATAAAGTTTTTAAATTCTTGAGCGACTTTTATAAACAAAAATTATTTTAAACCTGAAAATTAGTTTAATGGCGAGAAAAAAATATTAAAAGTCGAAGAAAATAAATATCTGACGATTTAAAAAATTTTTAAAAATCCTGCGCGACCCCTAAAAATTTTTCTATCAACCTTATTTATAAAGAGGGCTCTTAAAATATGAAAAGTTTACATTATCTTTATAAGAGAGTTGAGAAATAAAAATCGTCCTGATAATTATCGAAAATATATTTTCTTTCCAGAAAAATTGATCAAAATAATTTTCATTTGATTCAAATCTGTAATATATCCTGCCAATAATTTTCCTTTCTCTCGGTGCAATAATCAATGATTGACAATATACGCATGCCAATTAGTCAAGCATAATCATCTTGTTATACAACTGCATCCCTTGAGGACATTGAATGCTGAAGGGTTTTCTGCATCCAGAATTCAGACTGGAATGCTCTTGAGTACCAAGCTAATTCGTACGACTGGCATGATTATGACTGATCCATGCGTGAAGTGACCTCTGATAATATCCAGCCAGTTCACTTTAGTCTTCGATAGCCATTCCGTGATCCTCCACACACACGCGCACACTATATTAACGACATAACATTCAGGATCCTCGTTGAATCGTTCATCGTGGGAGCCAACTGCCGCTCGCATAGACCCGGCTTACGTCACTTGTCCCGAAGGGTCAATTTATGGATTTTTCCCCGACATAAACGATAAATATTGCAAGGGATAAAATGGCCTTCTTCATTCTACTTCACCAGATTATGGGCCCAGTTTCTGATGATCATTTAAAGAAATGGTACTTACTTCAGTAAGATCAATATCCTTGGAGTTTTTCTCATCGAAAAATCTGCTGTAGCTCTGCAGAACCAGCAAGTGGCAGTGAAATTCGTCATTCCCGATCTTGATTGCGCAATCTGCGTTCTTGTAGCTGGTGATACGATTGGATAGTTCGCAATACAGATCACTTTTTTCCGGCAAGGTTATATTATCCCAATCGATCGGTTGATCTGCTGTGAACCCCAATCTATGGAAGTTAAAAGAGGGTCATTTTTTTAGGAATTTCAAAAAATTAATTTTTTATTATATACTAAAATAAAACTAACTTGATTTTAAAAAAATTCTTGAATCAAGAAAATCATTTTGAAATGTTTCATTGTCTTGATTTGAATAGAAAAATTCTTGAACAGAGAAATTTTGTTTAATTTTACTAAATTTTACCTGATCTAAGACTTTTTTGTATTGATTCAAAATAATGTTCTTCCAAATGATTTTCTTGGTTCAAAAATTTTTCTCTTAAATCATGTTAATTTTTTTTTTGTCAGTATATTTAATGTTTGATAATAAATTGCTCGTTCTGTAACTCAAAAAGTTATGGATCGATTTGGCTGAAAAATTTAAAAAATTGATTTTAATTGAACTAATTTTTTGGAATGAACAAAATTTTAATTTTCTTTTAAAAAGATTACTTAATTTTTAATTTTATACGTTTTTATTACTTAAAAGGCGTATCCTTGCCATGCATATGTCAGAAATAGAAAGTTATTTTTTTTGTCTGGCATCAATAAAAGAAGAGCGACAAGTGCAGTACTTTTAGAGGTTGCGCCAAAGCAGTCAGAAAAAAAAAATTTACTGAGCCACCATTTAATGGAGAAAAAAAAAGTTTGGTAGTCTTCAAAGTTCAATTAAAATTGTGTTAAAACTTCAAAATAATAAAATTATTTTCTCGTTTAAAAAAACACTGATCAAAAATAATTTTGAAGCTTTTAAACCCAAAATGAAGGGAAAAAATAAAACTATTCTTACGACGCGAGAGGAACTTGATTGAGATTTTCGTGATTAATTCTCGACTGATGCTGAGCTCCATTTCGATTGTTGGGGTCCATTTCAGGACACCGATGCTTTACTCGGTACGGCTGGGTGCGTGGAATGTACTCAGAACTGGCCTGAGATGATTTCGCCTGCTGCAAGAAATTTCCAGCTTCAAATTCTTGAGATTGCTTGATTGATTGGGATTGCAGATCTTGATGAAAGGAAGGGTCAGATTTGGTCAGCTCTGCTTTCACGTTTACTTTAGTGTATTTTGGATCGGCGACCAGCACGCTCACCCTGTTAGTTTCGAACACCACTTGATTGGGAATGACTTTGAGATTCCCGCTGGGGGTTGGCCTGAATGGGAACACCCGCTTGGTGTCGTCTAATTTTCGACTGGGCTTCTGGTTGATTGGCTGATGATGCAGGGCCATTTGATTCGACGCCGGGTCATTTGGGTTTGATTTACATGACCGGCATTCCGGGGTCTGCTGGATTATATTCACGTTCAGTGGTTCGTACTTTACTGTAGACCGGCGACGAGTTTTCCGACGGCGGGGTAGTCTTGGTCTTGGTGATGGGTCTGTACTTTCTTTTCTGGAAGATATTTTTGAAATTAGTAGACAATTTGGAAAATTCAAAGCTGTATAGTTTGACATTATGGTGTATAATATGGTGGCGTATAAATAATTTTTTTTTTTTTTTTTTCAAATCGACGTAATCATGAGCTAATCGTATAATACTGCAAGGAAAATTTTTTTCACTTATATAATAAAAATATTTTTTAAAATAAAATTTTTTTCATTTAAAAAAAATTGTATTTTCCAAAATTTGAATTTTTTTTTTGTTAGTATTATATTTTTAGATTATAATTGCGACGATTTCAAAAGAAAATGTTTTATCTATGAGGTTTTACCTCGGGTACTATGAGGGTGGATAAAAAAATTTAATTTAATTAAAAAAAAAAAACCTATTTCATCACTATTATACTTTTAGAACAAAAAAATGTCAATTCTCGAAAAAAAATTTTTTTACAAACTCTTGTGCCTTTTTAATGATATATTTTATTAGTATACGTCCTTATGGTGTCTGTAATACCATGTAATTTTTTTTATCGATGTTACGACTGCATTATTTCACGCTACTAGTATCAAAATATCGTATCACCAATTTCTACGTTCTTTTGGTTTTGTAAAACTATTTTTCAAAATGATTTTCTTTGTTCAAGACTTTTTTTCTTGAATCAAGTTAATTTTTCTTTCAGTATAGAAACATACATAAATATTCGAGGCGTAGTCAGTCTATGAGGAGGCAAAGGTTCCGTAACAGTAGTCTGTTCTGATTTGGAAACTCTGACGTAATTTTTCCCCGGCTTACAGGATAAATTGAAGAGAGAGAGTTCTTGTTCTTGTTCCTGCTCCTGGTGTTGGTCTTTATCGTGATGTAGCAGAACGACACTACTCTTGCTTTTATCTTCTTCCAGACACACTGATGGAGATTTGTCTCGATCTTTAAATTTATCTTTATAATCGCCTGGAAATAATGAAAATTCACCGCTGTTAAAAATAATTGTCTTTAGGTCATAAAAATAAACCTACAACCTTTACAACTGTGTCGTCTTATCACTCTCAGTATCCGGGGCGTTCCGTTTTTTTCTTCTTTTCTGTCATTAAAGCAGTTAAAAAAAAAAAAAAAGTACTTTTTATCAGAAAAACTTTTATTCCTGTCTATAGAAGAGCCAATGCAACCAACCCGGATTATTTTTAATTACCCAAGTTTCCACTCGGACCTTCTGATGATATTACCACTTTGGTTGGTGCTTCTACGACCATCACCGTCACCACTCCTGCTTTTGCTTCCTCTGAGATACTTTTTCGCTGGAAAAGTTACCTGACTCGAAAAAATTAGTGACGCCAGTTCTAGTTACGAGTGATATATTAAAATACAACTTCAAACCTCATTCTTGTCGAGGAAACTCTTCGTTTCCCTTTGATTTAATTCTTCAACTTCTAAAAAAAAAATGAGTTTGAAAAGTGACGAGCTTTAAATTTTTTTTTGATAATTTGAAAAAAATATTGATGATCTTAAATAGAGCTTAGAAACTTTTGGTTTGGACATGGAACGAGTATTTTCATGTCAATAACTATTCAAAATTTTCATGTCAATAATTATTCAAAAAAATTTTCTTTAAAATATTAACAAAAAATATTTGCTTTTATAGTTAACAAAAATAAAATTAAATATTTTTTAAAATCTTAAAAATTAGGACATACTTTAATAATGTCGGATGATTTCGGCCTACTTTAACATAATTAATTAATTAAAAGATTATAGATATTAAAAATCAGTAATCAATTATTTTGAAAGTGATATTATTATTTACCTCAATTGTATTAATAATTAGAGTACCGCAAAAAACGGTTATTATTATTTTTTGAATCTTCTATAAAAATACCTTAGTACATCATGTTTGGAGCCAGTCCAAAAAGCAGCTCGATAAAAATTTTTTCAGAGGTCGCTCAAAATTTTAAAAGCTGTCAAAGTAAAGTATTAAAATTTTTTTCAAGCAACTTTCGAATATTAACGAGCTTTAAATTTTTTTTATCAAATTGACACACTTAAGAATATAAATAAACCACTTTGAAATTAATAAAAGTCAGACTAAATAATTATTCCTGCTGTAATTTAATTAAAAAAATATTTATCCGGCATTTGAAGAAAGTTTTTGAAATCTTGAGCGACTTCTACAAATAAAAATTTGGACTCAAAACTTTTTTGCGTCGCCTTAATATAATAATTACAAATTTTAAAAGTTCCGAGTCAACTTGTCAAGAAATTAATTTTTATAACTACATTACATAAAAAAATTTTTTATAACCAAAAAAATGTTTATAATCGTAAACGTCTCAATTCAAAAAATGAAAAAACTTACATTTACTTACGTAATTTTGATTGCGATTTTTTATGTGAATTTTTCTTCTGAGCTTGCTTACAAATTTTAGACTTTAATGAATTAACGTCAAAGTGAGTGCACAAATCGTTCAAGCTATTAAAACTTGTCTGAAAAAAATAAACAAACAGTAAAGTAAAGCTCGAACAAAATATTAAGTAAGATAATGGAATAAAATTACGTCATGTCGAGGTGGACCTTTTTGTATGATACAATTACCATGAGGATTAATTTAAAATTCTGGCTCGACAGAAACACACAAGCTTATCGCTGGCTAAAACAGATAAACAGATGACCCGGACATTTATAAAAATAATTAGGCATAAATATATATATACATATAAGGCCTTGAATATCAAAAGACGTGCGATATTAAAGTGAAGTTAGAGGCAAATGAAGTTGGCTAAATGTTTTACTCCCGCGAGAGAAAGAGCGAGAGAAACATTAACTAACAATAATTAAACTAGAATTGGTAATTATGTTTCAGTAGTACATTTACTGGAGCGAACTTTGTCAGCATTAAATTTCTTGTTTTCGTAAAGTGCCTGGGGGTTAAGTTAAGTAGACATTGTCTTTCTAATTTGTCGACCCTTAATTTCTCTTAATATATTTTTTTATTTACTACATTCCGCTTTTTTAGATTGACAAAATTTCTAGATTTATTTTCAGGTTTCAGAACAAATAAATAAAATAATTAATAAAACATTTAAGGGCTTATACTCATTTACAATTTTTTTAAAAATCAATTTTTTCAATTTTATTTTTGTAATGCAAGTATATTTTAGGCTATCTTTTCTACATAATTAGAATAATTATTAAATAAAAGTATATGATCGGTTAAGTCATTTTTATTTTTTACAAGGTTGATGTACATATGGCCACCTATAGACGCCATTGTGAAAACAGTCAGAAGAGCTTTCTAGGACTTGAAAACGTAGAGATTTGATAAAAACTCGATTTTTAAAAATCGGCCTGAAAACTTTAATTTCTTAACTAACATATTTTATAGTATGCTAATATATTTTTTATATGATTTCATGGTTGGCTGGTTAAGTTATAAAATCAGAAGGAGCAGAAAAATTTTACACGAGAAAAAATAAAAATTGAAAAATTACAGTTGAAAGCTCAATTTATAAAAACTAGTTACCTAAATAAAAAAAAAAAAAAAAAAAAAAAAAAACGGAAAAATTACAGTTTGAAAATTGAATTTTTTAAAACTCGGTAAAAAGTAAATTTTAAAATTACATTTGAAACTGTAAAAATTAACTACTATAATTAAATTCACTACTATCAGTGTATCAATTTTCATGCTAACCAATTAAAAAGATTCTTTACAAAAAATAATCGAAATTGCCACCTAAATTACCCGATGAATGATAGAACAAAACGATAAAATATGGAGATTAAATTAAAACAAAAAAGGCATTTGTCAGTCAGCAAAAGAGGATTGAATGTACAAGTAGAGTGTAGGTAGAACCACCGTAATTTACATAGCAGAACTCCGGGCTGGGTGCTGTTGTGTCCGCGATAGGATTTGCAAAGGCCGTGGTAGTTATAGTTGTAGATACAATAGTAGTTTAACTCTACACATACATCAACAACATATACCCACATCTTCTACATTGTTACGTAGGTAGCATACATGCGGGTGCTGGTGGTGATACCCCGCTCGGGATGATAAAGTGAAGGGAGACGTTACCGACGTCACTTACTATACACAGAGAGAAACATTCTCTGTGGATTGGATACAATGTGAAGATAAGGCTGGAGGGAGTTTATGTGGAAGAGTGGGAGCGAGTGAGGAGACACTGCTGTACCGACATTCAGGTCTAGTCTCACAATCAACAACATAATACCAATATATATGTATATGTTGGGGCTTAAATGGTTGTGTGCTGTTGGCAGGCTACATCGATCGTCTCTGCGTCCTGGTGACCTCGACCTAATGCCACCCTCTTCCACTCTTGTACTTTATCTGGCTCTATACAGCCCCAGCCCTTACTCCAACCCTCAACCCCTTTTTTATTTTTCTTACTACGACTATAGACTATATCTATGACTATGACTATGGGTATACGTAATCAGCGATTTATTTATAGTTATTATATTTTATATATAGGTGGATTTTATAGACGAAGTAGATATTACGTAGTTTTGTTTTTGTTTGTTTTAACCTATATATATATATATATATATATATATAATAGGAAACTCACCGGTTAGGCACCAATGAGGTCAGCCAGCAACCCCGTCAAAACAACACTCAAGTTCACCCCTCATGGATATTTTAGTAAGTGATTATAATCTTTATGGAAAGAGATATATTATCTGTTTCGTGTTTTTTCGGCAGTCTACTGCGTAGTTTATTTTTAGATTACATGCTTTTTTTATCGGTAGAATGATTAATCGAAAGACTTCAGTCTTTTGGTTGAATTCTTGAAATAGAAATTGTGGCTGTGTGATTGTTGTATTTTTTGTAAGGGTTATTGCGTAGTATTTCAAAGAAGGTTAATAAAAATATTGGAAAGGAGTAATATTATTAGTATTATTTGATCAAGTTAGGAGTATTTTTAATCTAACCCTATAAATAAATTTTTGGGTGCAATATATTGTTTGGGAAAAAGAAAATTGATTGGTTTAATTGAGAAAATCAAAAAATGGTGAACTTTTTCTCTGTCTCTTAATCAGTGAATTTCTTTATCTAATTCGAACTAAACCAAACAGAATTGAAAAATTTCAAAAATCAAAAAACTTCATAATCATAAATCAAAATTTATATTTAAATATTATAATTAATTATTCGATTGAATATATTCTTGTATCTTCTTATTTATTTTTTACCTTTATATACTTTTAAGTAATCATTGTAATACCTTGATGTATACTTATATTCATACACATTTCAAATGTAATTTAAATACCTTGCCATTCGGCTTGTGTCTTGGCATTTATTATTAACAAATAAAATAAAAAATAAACATTTCGAAGCAAGATTAAAATTTTCAAGATAATTTTCTACTTCAATAATTAATTAAGTTTTTTTTCAGGGTTAGAATGAGAACCGAAAAAATACTTGTTACCAAAATTGGACGTCTAAAAGTAGAATATATTTCACCCATCCTGAGCCAGTTTTATGACAAACAACTTATTTTCGCTTAAAATAGTTATTTATATTCATGTGTCCCAATCCCTGACAAAGATGTCCCAATAAAAATTCTGCAAATACTTCAAACTAAATACCTTGTCGAATTTTTCCAAGAATATTTGACTTGGATCAAGCAACTTTTTTTTATTGTATTAAAATTTTCATTAAACAAAGCACAATATTTAATTAATGAAATAAATTTTCTACTTTCATAAATATGTATCCCATTTTTACGTACCACCCATCTCTATAACAGTCCGTATAGGGTACATTTGTAATGAGAATGAGTGTAACCAGCAATTATTCATGAATTTCCATGAGCGTGTCCGGCACTTTGGCGGGTACACAGAATTGCAAATGACTTTTCGGTCAACATCACTCGGTAAAAAGGACGTGTGTTACACATGTAGTGGCCAAAAGATAGAGAAAAAGGTCCATCGAGTTTCAGTATTATCCACTCCATATATATATATCTATATATCATCCCGGCAATATATTTTACCGAGAATTTCATTTTAACCAACCGGCAAGCGCCACATTTGCGGTCTAGGGTAGAGGAACAAAACCTAAAAAAAAAAATAATAAAAAAAAACAGTAGAGGGAATAAACAAACAAACAAACAAACAAACACACAAAAAGAGTTAAATAATGACAAACAGAAAGAGGAGATGAGATGAGGAATCGAGAGTAAAAAACAAAGTAGAGATAGAGTGAAAATGTACACTTTTAAACGAACGCGTTCTACTTTTGGTCGATTTGTGTCAGGGGCGGGAGAGTCGGGAAACGAGTGCGAGTCTGAGGGGAAAAACTGGGAAGAGGAAGGGCTTCTGTACGGAGGAAAAGAGGAAAAAAGTAAGAGTTAGGAAGAAAGAAACTGAGGAAAAAAATTGCTAGAGATGGAAAAGAGAAAGAGGAAGGAGTTGAATTTGCAAACGTCGGTTCGAGTCTAGATACGGGATCGAGTGATGGAGTTTCAGGGGTAGTAGTAGCAGGAGTAGTAATAGTAATAGTAGTAGTAGAAGTATGAGTAGTAGTAGTAGTAGTGAGGAAACGGGTAAAGAGGAAGAAATGGATTAGACTAGTGCAGAGCAAAGCGAGGGGAGAAAAGCGAGGAGGGGGTGCTCACGAGTTGCCAAGGTTACACCCGCGTGGTGACCACCCTGCGGGCGTTCCACTAACCGCCGTTCGCCCAAGTCACCCCTCTGGACCGTTTCCCAGCCCCTCTCGAGTCGAGCCGGTCTCCCTACTCTTTAAATTTAATACTCCTGCGTCCTGGGCTTAATACTGACACACCCCATCGTGTGTCTCCAGCCTCCGTGTTAGTCTTTCTCGTTTCTGATGCCAGAGCAGGATAGGGTGCTCCTTCTCTGTCGCCCTTCTGGTCCAGCTATTAAACCTTCTTACAAGTTCCGAGATAAATCTGGAGCTGCCTGCTTCTATTCGCTTACCTTTTCTCACTTTGTTTTTAGGATGTATGATGAAAAAATTACTTGCTAGCAGAGAAATATTATCTCAGAAATTTTGGTCTTGTTTTGAGATATTCGCGGCGAATTAAGTTGAGAAATTCATGAGCTTGTGTAAGAAATGAGAATGAAGAGAAAAAGTTTGCTGTTCAAGAATTTTACCAATTCAATGAAGAATTTTTTTATTTTCAAATCAAGTACATAAATAAATATTCTTTATGAGAAAAAGTACTTCAAGACGAGAAATTCGTGAGTCAAGACATAAAATTCTCTTCACAATAATTTTATTCTTAAATTTCAATTGAATATTGAAATTAAAAGATATTAATCTTTTTAAATTAAATAATCCCATAGTAGATCCGAAAATTCGAATTTTTTTAATTTTACATTTTTGAAAGCTAACACAATCATGCCACCTACCCATCTAGTGGCATCCTCATGAATCAAAAACTTTCAATAAATAAAATTTCTCTTCATAAAAAAATATGAAGCTAAGAACTATGAAAAGTACAACAAAATTGACAAGATTTCTATTATCAAATCATAATTTCACATATTCCTAATAATAAATTCAAAATTTCAAATTTTTTCAAGCTTCGTCACTTTAAAAGCGAGCACAACTACGCCACCTGTTCATCTAGCAGTTACCTCACGAACTAAAAATTTCAAAGAAGTATGATTTCGCTTCACAAAAAAAAGAAATTTAAAGACGAGAAATTTTTTTATTAAAACAACCTTTTTTTCTTTCAAAATAATTTTGTTCTTATATCAAGAAAAGTTTTGTCAAATTAAAAATATCGAATTAGTCTACACTAATAAAAAAATTAACTCAATTAAAGAAGATGAAACTCTTCAAAATGATTTTTTTAGATCAAGAATATTTTTCTTCAATCAAGACTTTTATTATTCTTGTAAAATTTTTGATCTAAACATCTAAATCATGTTGAACTTAAAGAAGACTCAATAAAAGATTTGATCCATAAATATTTCTACAAAAGTTAGTTGATTTCTTCTTCATCGATTTCTGGTTCAAATTTTAATTGAAAATTTCATCCTCTACACATTTCATCCAGATAGATAGTCTTGAAAAGAATGGAAAGCATCAATATCTGACTGTGAAGTCTTGTGTGAAGAAAAGGAGTTTTCTGCAAATATGAAAATGGAATACCATAAAAAATATTAAAAAAATTTAAATATACATCAACAGATAAAAACGATGCATCATTCCCTTTTATCCAGCGGAAGCTCAGCCATAAATTTATGATCATGTGTACAAAATAGAGTACATACCTTGATTGATTGATACAAGATTATGTACTATACATTACATTATACATCATACATTGTGAATAAATTTAACCGTATTTACGAAGTAATAAAAATCAAATTAGCCGATTAAATCGATTCTACTGTACCTCTGATCTCTCCCCAAAGAAGTTTTTGTCTATTAATAATACGTATTATATAGAAAATGCGGGGTTTAATTTGTTTCGTATCAAAGATATACAATATATAGTGGTCGAAGGATATTTCATCAATAATATATTGTATATCATAGAAAAAAGCTTCGTAATGCTCTCAATACATAATCTACTTTAGTAAAAAAAAAAAAGTAAATTCTCATTTCTTGTATACGCTAGCAAAATTATCTCAGGAATTTATCCTCGTCATGTTTTATAGTTATTCTAAGGGTATACTACTGACTTTTCTCCAAATTAAAAAAAATAGATAAAATTGTTATACATTTTATATATACTCTGAGCTTTATTGTTATAAAATAACAATACAAATCCTCTTTGTCTGTACTTATTAAATTTTTTTTTCAGGTAAAATATTTTCCCTGCTTAAACTTTTAAATCTTATTATTTATTTAAAGGGCCGGTTTAAAAAAGAAAGAAATTACTATAGGATACGAGTTAAATAATTCTAAAATAAAAATAATTTTTTTTTTTTATCTTAAAATGACTTCACAATTATCATTAATGAAAATATTTTCTTAATTTTTGAATTTAATAATCATTAGTAAGATTGAAGGTCTAATTGTTCATAAAAAAAGGCTTAATTTGTCTTTAGTAGTAAACCAACTTGAAAATTAATTATTTATTGAGCATAAGTTCGATGATGTTTGAAGTTGAAATTAATAAATAATATTATTTGTATTGGAATGTTATTATAAAGTTAAAATTTCTGTTAGCACGCGATCATAATAATCTAGTGCATCGTTAGGTAACATATTCGGATGA